TCATGTAGGGTTCATCCACGGAGAGACTATTAGCATACAATTCAAATTAGAAGCTATTTCAGATTGCCACATGAAGTTTCTTACTCTTCCTTCTTGAAATCAGAGGTTTAAGATAAAATAACACTTTTTATCATTTGAACAAATGAGAGGATTCTGTGAGCTGCTGCCTGTCTGTTCCAGTTATGCATCCTGGAACTGGAGAAGTAACCTGGGATGGGCTTAGGGACTCACTGGACCTACAGTTGGATTGATCTGCACTTAAACTACACTTATCACCTGGCTCCCAAGAGCCCCAATTTTCACAGAGACATTTTGGGTCACCCAGAGTTAGTGTTAGTCCAGAGCCAGTGTCCAGTGCTCCTGGGAATGTCCAATCATGCCCTTTTTTTTCTAGCACAGCCGCTCAGAAGAAGATATAGGTCCCTTGGGGGAAAGGCTGATAGATGAACAGTGTGATTTTTCTGCAATGTAGCATAACTCTTTCTCAAGAGGACTTGACTTCCCCTTCATTCAAGGGGCTCAGGGCATGTAAACTAGCTCCAGTTTGGGAACCCAGGGACCCTGACTCTGTCTTTATGATACAAGTTAGATTTCACTTTATTTGACCTAAAACTCTTCCACTTCTACATATTAATACTAGTAGGTTCCTCTTCTAGGAATATCAGGATTAGTTAGCCAGCTCTACAAGTCTGTCCCAGTCACTTCTCTGACTGCATTCAGCACAGTATCCATGCCCAACTTACCTTAGGGCTACGTGTAGACACCTGGCTTTCCCAGCCTACCTGCATAGTTTGGATTCCTGCCCTTCATGATCTTGTGAGCCAATGCCTTAAAGTAAATATCTATATACAGGGGCTGGGGATTTAGCTCAGGGTGCTGCTGCCTTCCTCACAAGCACAAGGTCATGAGTTTGAGCCTCAGTACCAAAAACAAACAAACAAAGCTATATACACACTCCCCTCTTTCCTTCCCTCCCTATTATCCCAAGTGACAGAGACAGGCATGGAAAAGAGAACAGAGACAGGCACTTACTGAGATGAAATGGGCCAATTTTCTAGGGATCAAGAGAAAAAAGTATTTGATTCAAATATAAAATCGGAGAGCTTGCAGTGCATTTCTTTACTTTCTGGACTTTTTTCCAGCACCACTGCGAAATTTTGTTGGAGCTACCACCAAACCACTAAAAAGTGAGCAATCACCTGCACATATTTTTATATAACAATGCATCCAAAAACTGAAACCTGCTCGGAGAGACCAAACCTCTCCAGAAAAGAAACACTGCAGACTTCAGGCCCATATCCAAACATAAGGCAGGCTGGTGTGGCAAGGAAAGGAAGGCAGGTACTCACACTGCTTTGCTCTGTCCTCGTCCAGGTTGGCTTCATGGATGGCTTGCTGTATCTCCTCCAGCCAGAGGACTTTAGAAACACACTCAGCATCCTGCAAACAACATCACAGAATCATAGGCAGATGGTGAGTGAGGATGGGACAGAATCAACAATTGCTGTTCAGTAGCTCCTTGATTAAAACTCCCACAAGTTCTTCCTCAGCATTATACCACAGCACTACTACTGCATGCAGCACGCACTACTAACGAACTGACCCGGTCCGTTTGCTTCTCTCTTCTGTCCTGCCACCCTGAATCCAGCACCCCCATCAGCTCCTGCGTGGACAGCAGCACTGGTCTGTTTGCCTTTGCTGGTTCTGAGGATGCTCTGAACCAGGACCTGCACTGGCCTCCACAGAGAACCACATGATCTCTTTTCAAAATCTCCTCACACCCCTCCCCTATGTGACCTCCACCACAGGCTGCATTCTGCAGTTAGAAGGAGACACAAGCTCTTGGACCACAGAGCTCCAATGATCTGGTCCTGCCTACCCTACACCTCCCGACTCCTCTGTTTGTGCTCCAGAACTCTACGAGCTTCCTTAAGAACACATCACCTACTATTTTTTCTGTGTTCAGACCTCAACTCAAACGCTACCTCTTCCCAAAAGCTTCCCTGGCTACCTACTCAAGCATTCTCTCCCCCAAGCACTTGTTTTTGTATGTGTTTGTGATACACAGTAATTACACTTATCTTGGGGAATTGGCACAGAGACATATCTCATCTTGATCGGTTTTACTTCCTCTCCCGTCCATCCTTTGCTCCCCTTCCCATCTTCACAGAGTCTGCCTCCCTGTTTCCTAGCGTCTATTTTTCTATTTTGTTCTTACTTATAGTTTGGGTTTCTCATATTTAAGAAAGCATATGACATTTGACCTTCTGTGTCTGGTTAATTTTACTTAACATTATGGTCTCAAGATCTATCCATTTTTCTAGAAATGACCCAAATTTAACCCTTTTCATGGCTAAGTAGTACTGTGTTGTGTATAAATACCGTTTTCTTTATCCATTCATCTGGACTCCTAAGAACTCAATAACTACAGATCCCAAACTATTGCCAGGGTGCCCCAGAGTGTCATGTGATTAAGAACAACCCAGCAGCAAGACATATAAATTACAGCCCCATCATTAACCATGTTACACCTTAATGCTGCTGGGCTGCTCTGAACCACTGGTGGTACAAGCCAATGGGAACATGTTAAATTTGAAGGAAAAAGAGTGATACTCAACATTTGTCAGACCCAGGGACAAACAAAACAAAACAAAACCCCAGAAGATGGTGACTGCCCTCTAGGAGCTAACAGTCTAGCGAAAGAGACAAATATGTCCAGAAATAATTATAATGTAATATGATCATGGTGTTAGCTGTAGACATATGATGGACACATACACAAGAAGGAGTTAAACTGTGCTTTGAGTCTTGGATTACAGGAGAAAAGTCATTAAGGATCGCTTCAGACAGGAAGTGATAGGGCTCTACGTATGGGGCCATTGGGGCACCAAAGCTACTGCCAGAGAAAATGTCATTTTACTGTTCAAGTTGTCATGCTCAGCAGTGACGACCCCAGCAGCTGCTGCTCTTCCCAAGCTTTAAGATACCCAGAGACAACAAAGAGTTTTACTTTCCAGCTATAGCTGTGTGGATCACACAAGCTATACAGCGAATGCTAAGTGTGGACCTTAAAGAAACTAATAGTCCGGTAGGTTCAAAGTCTCTTTAAATGACCATGGCCTGGGGACCCCCACGGAACTGATGAAGTAAAGCACACCACTGTGACTGTGTGCTGCTCAGAACATGGATTTCTTAGCAATGAAGCATCTGGATGAAGACATACCAGGGGACCTGCTGATTCAGAGTCCCTATACTATTTTATGCACTGTTGGGATGTTAAACCAGATACTCAGATTTCAGTTTTCATGTTCTGTGGTGGAATCAGCCTTCTACGGAGGAGCCTAAGCTGCAAAAAGTGTGGTGGAAAAGTATCCATTACTAGGGATCTGTGCCATGATTACTGCTGTACGATCCTCAGGATTTGAAGTACATTTTGCAAGGGTCTTAAAGAGGGCACACACTTCCCTTGGCTTCCTGCAAGTGTTGGAGGCCTCCGCACGTCTGTTGTGGTCAAGGACACAAAGGGCAGCGAGAAAGGCTTTCTGGTGGCAGCGGCCATTGTCCTTCCTGCACTGCTTCAGTGAAACTGTTTGCATCACCTTTTCCTCCGGGGAGACCCTTCTCCTATGTGTTCCCACAGATCTCTATGGATTACTTAGCCAAGACATGATATCCAGCCAGCCAAGAGAAACAACTTTGAAAGAGAGACTCAATGGTGTGCAATCTGAGTCTTAAGCTATTCCAACTGCATGTAAACAGTCTGCATAGAGTCTTAAATCAATCCCAGAAGGCAGCCAAAGCAAATAATAGCAACAACAAACTAACTGCATGGCAAATTATAGTTAATTTATATAATTATGATTATAGCAATTATCAATATGAGTGAATTACTAATATGCATATTTAATGTGGGCCTGTTTGAGGTCAAGCTATACTGTTTTACAATGAAGAAATTTTACTGATACATATATATATTATGCATAGATCATGTACACAAAAGGTACAGAAATTATACGGTACTAAAAAATCATATGGAGCTACAGTATGAAGTAACAAGGGATAGGGTAATGTTATAGGTTAAAGTATTAAAGCTATTTCTGTACTACTATAAATATTCTCTTGCTCAGGTACCAGGGAGAAGGATGACCCTCCTTGTTCTTTAATTCCCATATAGTATTCTGTCTCAGCAGCTCTTTTCTTACAAGAAAGGTTGAAACCAGACAGGCTAGTTCAGAACCAAGCAATGAATAACTTCTCCCATGGAATCTATTCCACAGCTCAGTGATTTCTGGGTAGTGACTGAGTGATGTTGCACTTGTACCATTCATTGCATAATTCACAGTTCTTTGCTTCAAGATTAAGCACCTACCCAATTTTAATTTCTTAAAAAATGTTTTCTTTCCATGATTGATTTGACCTATAATTATGCAATGCATTTTAAAATTTAAATTTAAGACAGGTATAGTGGCTCATACCTTCCATCCCAGCATTTGGGAAGCTGAGGCAGGAGGACCGTGGTAAGTTCAAGGCCAGCCTGAACTACATAGTGAAGCCTTGTCTCAACCCCTCCCCCCAATTAAAATTTGTAAAAGCTATGAAAATAAAAGAACAATTTCTCATTACTCACTTATTAAGTAGAAATTACGTGCTGAAACTATTTTAAGATAGGTAAAAATGAGCTGTGGGCAAGATTCAAGCTAACCATCTTCGCATCTATTTTCAGTTTCCATCTACAAATGGCTCTACACTACTGTGGTCCCTTGGGTGCACATACACACTGGGTGCGAGTGACAGCATCTGTTCAGAATGGACAGTCAGGGGTACAAGTGCAGCATATCCAGGTTCAGCCAGAGTCTTGTGCACTGCAACATGGACTGAGTCACATCCTCTTCCTGAGGGCAAGCTAATGCCTGCATCGCACAGGGCAGTGACTGAGGGGACACTGTTCCTTGATTTCACATGCTGGAGGACATTTGAGAATTGGGATTCAAGTCATTAAAATGAAAGCCCTCATATTTGCAGCTGCTGGATGACTGCTTCTGATGCCTACTTTTTGTGAAAAAGGTAAGCTGTTTCCCTCTGGGTTAGGATAGGGTTCATGTTGTAAAGAGTGAACTAAACTCAATTTCCTTCCCATCTCAGAAGAAGCACAAAAACCAGGAAGCACAGTTCGATGTCTGTTATTAATATGCACAGTCATGGAAGTGAGTACCTGTGTTTGTTCACGTCCAACCTTGTCAAGGACTAAGTGCTCTCTACCAAGACTGGGAGATGCAACTAGGGGGAATAAAACAAAACTAAACAAAAAATCACGCTCTGTAAAAGAACCCTGCTTAAACTGATAGCTGAAATCCTCAGGCTCTCTGGGAGCACAGGAGCCAAAAATCTAGGCAGCAGAGTTCCAAACAAAACAAGGTTTGTGGAAGAGATTCCTTCAAGATGCTAGTAGGGTTTGGTAGAAGTGAAAAGGGACAACTTTAGAGGAGATCAAGTAAAGGGCAGTGGACTTGCCTTCTTTGATAGAGTGGGGAAGATGAGAAGGAAGAACCTATCACCCAGAACCTGAAGTCCAGTCCTCTCAGATTAGCTCCTCCCCAAGGCCCCTTCCCAGGTTGAAAACATTTCAGAAACATTATGCCACATGGAAATCTGTATAAAGAATCCAAATAAGTTTTTTGAAAAAGAAAACAAATCAGCAGTCTTCTACAGGAAAACCAGTCTCTGAGAAATAAAAGACATATTAAGGTGAGACCAGATTAGAGTTATCAGTGGAAAATGGAGCCATGTTTACTTTTCCATAAATATAGTCACTGTTTAGCATGCTTTCAGGCACAATGTCTTGTTCCATCATAGAATTTTCTGAAAACTGACAAACCCTTGGTTTCAACACCTTTCTTATCAGATCTTACGGGAATGAAGAACACAGTCTAGAGTTGTTGCTCACTAGCTTTTTGCTTGTCTCTAAGGACTCTTCTCTCTGGGTGATGTGACACACAATCCCTAAAATGCAAAGGTGTGCTAAGCTAGAGTCATCAGTGATCACATGGAAACACAGGTGGAGAAGGAGGTCACCTTCTAAATTCTTTCCTTTTCTCTTATGTACCTTTCCTTAATGGACACCTGACCACCGCATTTGAACTACCCCAGTCATTTAAACTATACCTTCTGCACCTTGGACACAGACAGGGTGATGCGGGAAGCTTCAGTTTCACCCAGGAGAAACAAGAGATTAAAACAGGAAGAGGAACAAGCTCTGAATTAGAAACATTACTAGACAAGAACCTTGAGTATTCACAAATTCAGAGGTCATATGATAGGTCAGAACTGGAAGATTCCTGGCATTTTAAATGGTAAATAAGACATTTATTTTTGACCTAAAAGCCCATCTTAACTTTATGTCAAGTGTTACCAGGTAGTATAGGAATCAGCAGGGCTTTTCAGATTCTTATCATTCCATTTAATGAACTAGACAGAATGACTGGTGAACTTCAAAGATTAACATTGGTCTAGGGCAAAAGTGAAAAGAAAAGAAGGAGCATAAAAGAAGTGAACAGGGAGAAAGGGTGCTTGGAAGGAAAGAGAGCATACATGTCCTGCAGAAAGAATGGACCCCAGCCAAACAAGATGGCAGAGGCGCCGAAGGCAATTGCTGCCATCCCGTTGTGTCTTCAAATCATTGATACCCCTGATCTTGTGCTAGTAGGTTGGCATCAGGTGCCAGGCTTGGTGTGTTCTTGTGTCAGAAGACTGGTACAGGTCACAGGGCTTGGCTTGATCCTGAAGCTCAGGCTTCACAGCTGATGCTTTGCTTCCGTGGTTAACCTCTTCAACTGGTTGACTGTACCCAACTGCTCCAGCCATGTTGCCATACCCTAGGCTCCTACCTCAAAGGGGAATCTATTTTCTATACATGTCATTGATTAGTTTGTGTAAAAATGATGCAGTGATGAACAGGTTTGAGTATGAAGGTTTACTTCTTGAAATTTCAGGAATTAAGATGATTAACATAAACACATATCAAGCAATGCTAAATATTTATTATATAGATTTGATATATTTCTTTCCTTTTCAAAAATTCCTTTCTAATGTCTTACATCACAGCGATTTTATCTCCTGATTTTTCTTCCTTTGTTTTACAGTCTGGCATTTTTTCTAAAGTCTGCCTTGGGATTCTTTCTTCTCCTATCTCTTCCTAGGTATCTCCACCACTTCTGCTAAATTAAACAATAGCTGCTATGTAGATTAAAAATCCAGACTTCTAACTTGGTCCCTTGGAAATCCAGAATCCACTGTTAATCTTATAATTAGCCACTGGGCATTTTACACCCTAATATCCCACCAGCAACTCCACCTCTGTAATACCAAAAATGGAAATTAAAATTTCTTTCCCAATATGCTCCTTGTCTCTTGTCCGGGCTCAGGCATCCAGAGAAGTCTCAATTCATCCCACCCCCTGCTCCTCCCTCAGTGTCCAGCAGCCAATCAAATGCCAAGTTCCTTTGATAGGTGGTCAGCCTCTCAAGCTCATCTTAACCTTTCTACACCATTCCTCTAGCCCCTCTGCCTTAAATTTCTTACCTTTACAATCTATTCTCTATACTACAACCAAAGTCATCTGAAACACAATTCAAAATCATGATTATATTAGCTTCCCCTTATTGCTATAAAAATGATCACGAATGGAGTGTTTACAGCAACACAGGTTTATCAGGGTACTCTCATCTCTGGATCTTATCAAGACACATCTGCAAAGTCTCTTTTGCCAAGGGACTGGCCTTCAGGTATTCTAAGAGAGAATTTGGGGAGGAGGTGGGGTTACTTTGCCTATTACAATGGTTACTCCTCTGCCCCAGCATCTATGAGAAAGCCCATGATTATGACAGCTTAGAGGCCCGGCAGCAATCTGAGTATAATCTACTTACGAACTCTTTCTCGGATGTACCTTCGTAGCATAAGCTAATAAATTTCTATGCATGTCCCCCAGTAGTCTAACAAGGGTTGTTTACAGACAGCAATGGAGTTTATTTGAAACTTTATTTTATTTGTACCAATAGCACAGCAGCATGTGATAAACATTTTATGAATCAAGTTTCGTGATATTCTCAGGTCCTATGCCAGCCTACATTCTTTCCCCATTCATCACCAGCAGACTAATTCGTGACTTAAACTCCATTTTTTCTTAAGCCTTGCTTATTTTTGCTCAAGTTTATCTTTTCCTTGGCATTCTGCTCAAATACCTGAATCTGTTACCTGCTGTCTGATCACCTATGTAGCTTATGGTCACCGGACATTTGCCTTTTGTGTTTTCTGGGGCTCCTGCTACTTCTAGCAGTATTATAAACTCCTTGCATTCAAAGAGCTGTTTTTTCTAGTGTTTGTTCCTGAATGGGATGGTACAGTGCTGGGACATACGATATGTATTATGTACCTGCTGGACAACTGCCTGATCTATAATGATTTTTAAAATAAAAATAACCCTAAACTCCATAGTCACAGAAATTATGTAGCATAAAACTCATTCTATTTTCATCAAAACCATAGATTTATCTTAGCAACAAATCATGTGTTAATATTTCCTTTCAATCACAGGAAAATGACACTTCGGCAATGCCAACCTCAACTAATAAGACTTTCTGGAGATCCCCTAAATTCTTCTGTAGACTTCCTCCTTTCTGCCAGAGAAAGCTGGACAGGAGCCAAAGTAATTGTAAAAATGAAATATCTTGAAGTAAATATTTCAAATCTGCATGTGAGTAATTCCACCATGGGGAACCTGAGCAGTTCCTTAAGTTTTACAGTGATACCTACCATCTACCTGCTGGTGTTTGTGGCTGGTGTGCCAGCCAATGCTGTGACCCTGTGGAGACTTTTCTTCAAGACCAACTCCATCAACACCTTCCACACCAACCGGGCCATCGTAGATATCCTCTTTTGTGTGACACTGCCATTAAGGTAGCTTAATATCTCAGTGGGAACTGCTGGGTATTTGACTACTGAGATACTTCTTTTTTGGGGGTACCAGGGATGGAATTCGGGTCCTTGTGCTTGCAAGACCGCTGGGTGTTTGGATATCATGTGCTGGGTCATCACGATTATCTTCTATGGCAACATGCACTGCTCTATTCTGCTCCTCACCTGCATGACCATCAACCACTACCTGGCCACTGTCCACCCTTTCTTGTTCCGGAAGCTGTCCAAACGTACATTTGTTTTGCTAGCATGTGGATTGGTGTGGACAACTGCTTTCTTATCCATGCTGCCATTTTTCTTCCTTAAGCAGAAAGATTATCTAGTCCAGCTGAATTTCACCACTTGCCATGGCGTCCCCAGCACATGCGAATTTTCATCTCCCTTCCAACTCTACCACTTCATTTTGACTTTCTTCGGATTCTTGATTCCATTTGTGATTGTTATTTACTGCTACACAAACATCATCTGCAAACTTAATGCACATGATCCTAAGCTGCTGAGGTATAGCAAGGCAATTTTCCTTGTCCTCATGATTTTTACCATTTGCTTTGTTCCAAGCAATATTGCATTGCATTTGTCATTTACCATACTAACTACTATTCCAACAACACTGAAGGCTTATATGTTATCTATCTCATAGCGTTGTGCCTACGTAGCCCGAATAGTTGCTTAGATCCACTGCTTTATTTTCTCAATGTCAAAAGTCATAGATCAGCTGGGGATGTAGCTCTGTCTCAGATCACTTTCTCCACATGTGCCGGGCCCTGGGTTCAAGCCCCAGTGCTGTGGGGGAGGGGACGAGAGAGGGAGAGGCCCAGGTAAAGTTTTTTTTTAATCTAAAAGTTAAAATAGACAAAAGTTAAGGGAGACGATTCACATGCATAGAAAGAATTGTAGATCGGTCCACTTTTTATCTAACAATGGCTGAGAGCATCTTAGAGAAGAAAGAAAACTGGAAAAGATACATGCTGGAACAACATATGCATACTGCAAGGACTTCAGTTCTCCAGTTCTGCTGTTGAGCTCCTAAGAAATAGTACTTCAAATATTAAACAGTACAAAAGCTTTAAATGCTTGACCAGTATCTGAAGAATGTCAGTGCAGGAGAAATTTATTACTGTTTTCTTTATAGCAAAGGACATATTTCATTTGTCTTAAGCTCATAAATTCCCTCTTCCCTTCCTCCTATGAGTGACTCCACCTTAGAATTCAGAATCATTTTTGATTCATCTGATGGCTACCTCATCATCTGATTCTATATTTGTAGTATGCCTAACTAGGATTCTTTAAAACCTTCACCATCTTATATCACTGTCCTCGGTCTTTGATGAAATAGAACATCAATTCTGTGAAGATGTTACCCTTCAAAACCTTTAATGGCATATACCTTGCTCAACAACTTTGCTATACACCAATAATGCCACCAACATAATTTTCTCCTATTATTTTCCAAGGCCAGACTCTGGGCAAGGCAAGGCACAGAAATACTAATTACCCTGTGAACACACCACAAATTTCCTGAAATCAAAATAGCAGAAGTTAAAAAGCAAACTCAAAGACTCAGCCGAACAATTAATGGAATCAGATTTTTTCCAAGGAAAAAGACTAAACTGAGAAAAGTTTTAAAATGGCAGTTTAATCAAATATGAGACATTAGAATTAGAATGTTTCAAATTTGTCAGCCATGATTAATAGAGCCTATGCCTCTAGATTTATAGGTCAAAAGTAGTTTGATTCCTGAGCTAATTCCTAAGTCCCTAGGCTCCATGTGTAACAGTCTACTCACACCATTCCACACAAAAGAAAGTCCTCAACCCATGGTTGCTACAGGTGGGAGCTTGCAGGCTGCCGTTTTGATTCAAAGACTTCAAATGGAAAGCTTGGGAGGGGACCCATGCTGCCTGCCTTTGAAAGACCTTGGCCCTGTGGAGTTGGGGTTAGCTGAACACATGTGTAGACAGAGCAGACCCTGTGTCACACAAGGACCTGGTGATACAGACATCATTTACCCCCAGATATCCACAATAAATTAGCTATATAATTGAAGTTGTTGTTTTGGTGCCAGGCTGCATGCTAAATGCTATAGCCACAAATATACGAGTGTACATACATTTTCATAATTAACATCATTACAAAATAATGTATAATGGCACATTGGTTTATTGTGTATATATATTCTCATGTGACCCTCACTACAATCCTATAAAGCAGGTGTTATTATTCCTATTTTGTCTAAGTGAAAACAATTATACAGAGATGTGATCAGACCAAGTTCACACAGACGGGACCTGAACAGTGCCTGTCTATCTCCAAAGTAAATAACTTTCTCTATCAATGCTGGTAATTTTGCAATGTAGCACAGACACAGCCACCTCAGTGGGCACTGCAAGGAGGAGCCCACTATCCTCCCCATGGATCTGGGGGCATGAGGCTTGGGTTAGAGCCTTCACTTTCCTATTCTCTATCTATCCTTTGGCCTGGCATTCACCCCGAGCCCCAGGCCCATCCACATCAAGGGAGAGAGCTCACAGCCTGCGCGGCTGAAGCCTGAGCACTTGGGAACATCCAGACGAAGGGCAATGCTACCTCCATGGCTGACATAGGGCACCGCCTTCAATGTAGCTGCTTAGGAATTTGAAGTGAGCAAAGTTTACACTGGACTTTTAAAAGTTTAGCCGCAAGCACAAGGGCCTGAGTTGGATCCCCAGTGCAAGCAAAAAAAAAAAAAAAAAAAAAAAAAAAAAAAAAAAAAAAAAAAAAAAAAAAAAAAAAAAAAAAAAAAAAAAAAAAAAAAAAAAAAAAAAAAAAAAAAAAAAAAAAAGAAAAAGAAAAAGAAAAAGAAAAAGAAAAAGAAAAAGAAAAGAAAATTCAAGTTTACTAAATGCCTCTCTAAAAAATAATTAAAAATCCAAATGGTAGAAAAACAGAGTGGAAAAGAAAGCTCCCATCTACCCTAGCTTTCTAGATCAACTTCCAGAAGCTTCTTCCAGAATTACACACATATAAGTGTGCACATCTTCCCCATCCTATGCATACCTTTTCCATTTTTATGTGTATAGGAGCATATGTTTTTCCTTTACAATGTTTAGGTTATTGTAATTTTTTTTGGTTGTTGTTATTGCAAAAAAAGCTGCAACTTTCTTTTCCATCTGTCTTAATGTCCAGTAATCTGTTTCGGAATCAGACAGACCTGGGTTGTAGTCTCAGAACCAATAATCTTTTGGGTGGTTTTGGACAAGTTATTTAGTCCTAATTTCCTTATCTGCAAGACAATAAGGCAATAATGATGGTGAAATGATTCGGGGTGCTGTTATGAATTGTTTTAATGATTAAATGATTTTATTATTTAATGATTAAGTGTTTTAATGATTAAATCACGCCTGGAGAAGAGTAGGTACTCCATAAATGCCTGCTTGAATCAATTATGTTTTTCCTGTTTTGGATGAAGTAGTTCCTAGGTTCTAAAAACATACAGAGGAAATAGGCTTTCTGGTTGGGCTTGAACCTGGGGACATGGCGGTCACCAAGTGGTGAGACCCCACTTATGTGGCATTCCAGCCCATCTCTCTAAGGCAACAGGTCCTGAAAGTTAGTACTCAGCCCAGTTCCCTTCTAGGAGTGGCCATTCTCTGTAGGGCCTCTTCCATTATCAGGACAAGCATTACATCTACATAAATGTCACTTCTCCTAAAGAGGACTCCAGCCAGGCCAGCCTCTGTAGTGTCCAGGTCAAAGCTGGCTGTCCTTTCTGAGCACTGTTTCCTGTCGGCATCACACCACCCTTCCCGACCCACCCAACTTTTTCTTTCCCATCACACACAGCTACTCTTCTACCTCCATGTCAACTGCTCGCAGGGTCCTCGAGTACAGCAATCCCAAATCTCTCTGAATCCATGTCTGCTCCATACTCAGCTCTCTGGCCCACTGCTTCAGTCAGTTCTTACACTGACAATGATGACAGAAAAGACTTAAACAGTATCAAGTGTCCCCTGTCCCCTTCTTCTCCCTAAAATGCCACATACTGCACTGTGCACACACAGACACCAATCTCCAAGGAATTAGACTCTGAAGAACTCACCTGCAACTGAGCTTTAAATGAAAGAAAGGGTACAGTAGTGAACTCTTCAGCCAGGATTTCTAATATTTGGCACCAGGAAAATAACAGCTTCTATTACCTCCATTCTGATTCATTGGGATGAGAATCTCATGAGATTTTTTTTAAATAGGTAAAAAAATCCTCCCCCTTCCCACTTGGCCTACAAACATAAAAGAAGTAAACGTATTAAAACCTACCATGAGCTTCTGTGATTTTGCATAGTGTAAAACATCTTGGTAATGCTGGGCATGGGCTGGGTTCACATCTTTGATCTTAGCAGTAGGTAACAACAAGGTGTCTAAAGTCTTCAAAGGATTTCCTTTATCTATAGCTTCATTGATGTATCCTACAGCTACAATTCCTAGAAAAATAAAGAAAAAAAATTTTCTTTAAGTCATAGTACATTACACATACATTCTCATTATCACCCATTACAAGGAGCTAGTAAGCAAGGATAGCAAAGCTGATATAAGATCAATATAAAATTCAGTATAATTTCTATGTATTCATGTATTTCTATGAAATTTCTATGAATTCTATGTATTTATAATGTTTAATCAGCACATGAAAAGTTAAAAATTCAATTTGCAATAGACTGCAATCACAAATAAATTTCAATCACACAAAGAATAAATATTAAGGAATACTTTTTAACGAAAGAAGCACACAGCATGTACACTGAAAGCTGTGAAACACCACAAAGGAAAAAAAAAATGAAGAAAACCTAAGCAAATGGAAAGGCCCTCCATGTTTATAGCTTGCAAGACTTAATAAACATGAACACGGAAATACTCTTTGTGAACGTGGAAATAATCTTCAACGTGATCTACAGGGTTGGGGTAACCCTATCAAAATGCCAATGGCTTTAAAAAACAACAACAAATTGACAAGTTGATCCTAAATTCATAGGGAAGTGCAAGGAGACAAAAATAACCCTTGGAATCTTGAAAGAAAGAAGAAAACAGCTGGAGGACATTTTCCAGTTCAGAACTTACCATTACATGACAGGAATTAATACTGCATGGTAGTGGCATAGGATAAACACTTAGATAGAAAAGAATTGCAAGTCTAGAAATAAATATATACGTAAAATGTCAACTAATTTTTTTTTTAAAACAAAGGTGCAAGATAATTCAGTAGGTTAAAAAAAGTCTTTATAACAAATGGTGCTGGGGTGGCTAGACGTGCACATACGTGGGAACGCATGACCCCTTCGCCATTAACCCTGCACAAAAAGTTCACTCAAAGTGGATGGTAGGTTAAATACTAAAGTTAAAATTATAAAACACTGAGACAAAAACAAAGGAGTAAATCTTTGTGATCTTGGGTTAGGCGATAATTTTTTTAGCTATGTTCCCTAAAATACAAACAGCAAAAATAAATAAATAAATAAATAAATAAATAAATAAATAAATAAATAAATACATAAATAAATAAATGGGACTTCGTCAAAATTAAACCTTCTGTGCTTTAAAAGATATTATCAAAAAAAGCAAAAAACAAAGAATGAGAAAAATATTTGCAGGTCTTATACCTATCTAAAAAAAAATGACTTGTGCACTGGATATATTGTGTGAAGAGCACATAACAAGAAGAAAAATGATTCAATTTACAATTGGTAAAGAATTTAA